CTTGATGAAGGTGCTGAGTTAGATTCTGATTTGTTAGATCATTTGTTAATTGCTCATACTTTAAAGGATCCTGATTCTGACAATGTTGAGAACGTAGCTTCAATATCTGCTAAAGAAGTTAGCGTTCTTACGTGGGACGTTCTCTTGGCTGGTACTGATACGGTAAATATTGTTAATCTTCTTTATATAATAAATATATATATATTATAAATATATATTAACTTCTATTAATATCATATAAATCCTCTTTTTTATTTGTTATTTAGACTGGTAATGCTTTCAGTTTTCTAATATATTTCGTTGCAAAACATCCAAACGTTCTTGCTAAAATTCATAAAGAGATCGATAAAGTTTTGGGTCCTGATCCAACCGTTGAATTCACTTTTGAAAATATTGATAATTGTCATTATATTGAAGCAATGGTTAAAGAATCATTGCGTTACATTTTAATGGTTCCATACACTGTAAAACTTTCCGAAGAATGTGAAAATATTGGCGGTTATGATTGGCCAAGTGGAACTAAATTCTGGATTGATCATCATAGTCTTTGTCATAATCCTGATATTTGGGATGATCCCGAAACTTTTAATCCTGATAGATTTTTAAGTAAAAATCATGGTGGTTTGTCTGAAATTTCGGAATTACAAAAGATCACTTTTGCTCCGTTTGGTTGTGGTCTCAGAGGTTGTGCTGGAAAATTTGCTGCTTTGACTTTGATGAAAACTATGACTGTTATGCTTTTTAGAAAGTATAACATAGAATTAGTTAAAAAAGATGAAATGATAAAATATCGTTATACTGCATTGAATAAGGTTTATGATTTGAATGTTAGAATTAGCTTAAGAGATGTTTCCTCATCTTCTTAAATTGTATCAAAATAATTTTATGCTTTTTAAATTATAACAATTCTAATTCAAGTATTTTATTCCGGTTAAAGTCTCCTGATAATTTTTAACAGTATTATCACTGAAAGACCACTGGAAGTTCACTGGAACTTTAAGTTCCAATGACACTATTGATTTTACTTCCAGTGACAACACTGATCTATAATAACTGTTGCATTACTTAAATTAATAGTAATATTGTGAATAATAGTTTGGGTACTTTGATTTAGGTCAAATAAATTAGTTTTAAATTTATATTAATTTAGCAATGTATAATTGTATATTGACTATGCAATAATAAAATAATATTAGTATTAGTACTGTATGTATACTTTGTCTTGCTTAGTTAAATATATTATACCTATATTATATGAAGAAAATTGTGATTCGTACACTGTATGTATATATACAAATAGCAAATTTATATAATATAGTTTAACAAAATTTAGCCCATTTAATATTAAAGCAAGGTTAATGTTAAAGCTTTGAGAAAAGCATAATTTACATTGAAATTTTTTCTTAGAATTTTTAAGTAGTTTTATTCAAAAATAACAATATCTATACATATGCCGATAATAGGTTACGTTACGATTTCACGAAAGCTATTTCCCCGACATGCCACTTACCCGATATCACTCAGGTGACAATTTGCTAAAGATACATATCTACAACTAACAAAATGCTAATCCTAACCCTATGTGATGTCGGGAAAATAGTTTTTCGGAAAAATGGGTTTCGGGAAAGTAAGAATCAACGCCGATAATATACTATGCATACTATACAATAGAATTTCAAATTTCGCTTATGATGCCACCTTTAACGTTCTAAGAAAAAATGTTTTGCAAAATTCTACTATAGTATTTAGTTTAACTTTAACATTATCCTGACCTTACCCCGTATATTAAAACTTTTTGTGAAAGGGGAGTTGAAATTCACTACCTGTAAATTTTAGTTTTTTTTCATATTTTATCACAAACCATAAAAATAAAAATTATATTAAGGCCATACAAATTTAATGTCTGGGTTTTCATAATATGAAAACACAGTTGGCCTTTTTTTTAAAACCACACGGTTATTAAAACATATAATTTTTCAAAATTTGACACGGCTAGTTATGAAAACCAGTTAATTTTGCATGACCTAATTTAATAAAAAATTTTTAGGCAACCTACTGGAAATTTCCGAATTAAAAAATAAATTTTGATGTATAAATTATTATATAATTCAAGTTGTTCTAAATATTAGTTAAAAATTACAAATAAAGTCATGTAAAGTCAATTTTTCGTTTTGCATACCATGGAATTTGAAAATTTGGGTTAAATTTTTTTTGTTGGTCCTATCGGATAATTCCAGAAATTAAAGTCGGCATCGAGTGAAACCGGCTAAATGAAGGGAAAAAATTAATAGCAAAAATCGAATAATTGGCACAATTGGCATTTAAAAATAATTTTCGGAAAATTTGAAAAAATCAACTTTGCATGGTCTAAATTACTATATCGCAAAAATAATATTAAATCTAAAAAGCTTTAAATTTATATGCATATTGTTTAAAATATCTATTTTTGAAAAATAATAGAGGGAAATCCTATTTCCACCATTGACGCATGTTCGTGTTTATGTAGCTGCAAAAAACATGACGAAATAATAAATTTCCATGATGTAAATGGGTGTTCCCTAATAAATTTACTTATTTAAAGAAAATACAAATCCTATATTTTTTTAATTAAAATTGTTTTTTTTGTTTAGCTTAGTAGGTTCACCTTTTGATTAATTGTCTATTAATTATAATTTATTACTTTACTATTTACTAGTGTAATTAGATTCTTATAAATTTTATATTCATCATCTAATAACTGGTCGGATGCTTTCATTAAATAACTGGTCGAATACTTTTATTGAATAACTTTAATAAATGCTATATTCCGTCATTTAAAAACAAGCTTAACACAGGATAATGCAATTTATTTATTATATGTAAGCAATTTTTACATATAAAGCTTCTTGCTAGCTAAAGAAATTTCACAATAAATCACCAAACCAATATTTTTCTGATGGTTTTAATCTTCTACTTCCTAATATTTCTTCAGAGACTTTCGCAACTCTTAATAATGTTGCTTCATCATACCATTTTGCCATAAATTGCAATCCAATAGGAAGATTCTTATTATTATAACCTGCAGGTACTGTAATTGCAGGAATACCAACAAAATTGGCCAATTGTGTAAACATTACTCCATTAGATACTACTGCAGGATTCATTTCACCATATTTTAAATCTCTTGGATAGATTGGAGGTGCAGTTATGGCACATGTAGGTGTTAAAATAAGATTGGCTTTAGAGAACACTTCGGAAATATTATGCATCATACGTGTACGAACATATTGTGCTTTGATGTAATCCGAAGCGTTCACCTTATTGCATATTTCAATGTTTAATCTATTAGGAAGACTTAATAAATGTAAATATCCTTTGTATCCATTCATAGTGGAACCTAACTCGGAAGCAAAAGTGGTTAGATGAGCTATTCGAGCATCTTCTAATTCTGGAATATCAATTTCAATAAATTTGGCGCCACGAAGTTTGAATTCATTAATGAATGTTTGAAGTGCAGAAGTAATAGCAGGATCGACCACTTGTTTCCAGGTTATTATAAAAAAAATTGTTATCCAAAGTCTTTTTTAACAAATTCTATTGTTTAAAATTGACAAATATATTTATTTTTACTTTATAGTGGTTTATGCCCAATCGCAATAGGTTGTGATGGTGGTGGTTCTATAAGGTAATTAAATTACTGAATTATCCTTTGGTTGAAAATGCAAATTGAATGAGATTACATTGTCTTATTGATTTTCTTTTAGAATACCATCCGCTTTTTGTGGGATCTATGGATTAAAACCAACATACGGAAGAATTTCTTTCAAAGGTATTTTATATAAATGACCCTACGTGATTTGTAATAAAAACTTCAATAATCATTTTTTTTATTTTTACAGGCCCATTTTGCAGTTCCTTAGGTAAGGTGGACGTTGATTATGATTGTTATTACTATATAAATTTAAATTAAAAAAAAAAAAAAATTAAGTTGAACATGACTATATTTAGGTGTTCCATGTCCTATGGTTGCTTT